TTGGATTGGGTTCTCATTCTTCGAAGATGTTTACGTTTAAATAAATCTCAGTTCATTTTGGATTGGGTTCTCATTCTTCGAAGATGTTTACGTTTAAATAAATCTCAGTTCATTTTGGATTGGGTTCTCATTCTTCGAAGATGTTTACGTTTAAATAAATCTCAGTTCATTTTGGATTGGGTTCTCATTCTTCGAAGATGTTTACGTTTAAATAAATCTCAGTTCATTTTGGATTGGGTTCTCATTCTTCGAAGATGTTCAAGTTTAACTTAGATTCCATAGATGCATGGCAGAACACTGTGATGTGAACTTTGTTGTTAGTGTACGGCTTCCATATTGATAGTCCGGTCATCACTGCATGTGTTGGGAAGTCTGCTGTGTGAAGAAACAAAATACAAGAACTATCCTGGGTACGGTACTGATTGTGACTCTGGTTTTCCCCTCCCTTCGCCCTCCACTGTAGGATATGTCTGTGGTATAGCAGAACTCTTAAACTTTGTGCTGTTGACGCTAGAGAGGTGAGCAGAGTAAGCCTGATTCCCTGTAAGGACTTCTCTGTTGACATCCACCCCTTGGCGCTCATATGACCTTATGCAGTTGCGAGCGCCGAACTACCTCTACTAAAGGAAACAAACACTTACAACGTAGAGCCTGGCTCTGTGGATATATGGTGACCAAGTAAAGTAAAACGTTTGCCTTCTGAGGCCATGACAGAGCAAGTTGTAGTTGAGCTGCACTGCTCCTTTACACGAAGTGAAATGGCAGGCGGCTTGCCTTATTAATTTATTTGATGTTGAATTTGAATTCCTATTTTGAAAAGGGTTCTCGGATCCCTAGATTTGAGAACTGCTGCAGTACCGCACTAAAGGCTCCAGCGGATGTGGATTCCAAGAGTTAAAATCTCATTATTCTGTCCCCGTCGTTTTATGCAAGAAAAATTCTGAAATTTTGCAAACTGAGCCCAATAATGTGAAATTATGCGATTCTGTTGATTTTTATCAAAGAATGGTAACGGAAAATAATCAGAAATTATGCCAAAAATTATCAAATTTTGTTTAATTATGCGGGATGCATAAAACCACGGGGACAGATGATTATAGGGCAAAGACTACAACTTCGGTAGGCTGCTTCTTGGTTAATGTAGAACAATTTATTGAATCCTATTATTCATTGAGGATGATCATTGTTTCCAAAAGTGATGAATGTTCTGAGGCGCGCCAACTGCTACCGTACCTGACATTTATCCTGCTATATTTTCCTGCTCTGTTTACATGATTGTGCGACATGCGTCATGGATTTATTTCAACACGTGTTTACCTTTTTGTGCGACATGCGTCATGGTTTTATTTCAACACGTTGCCCTTTTTTTACTTATGGCCGATTGTTTAAATTTATTGAATCACAAGATAGATAAATAAATACTTATTGCATTTAAAATGTAGGTCTCTCATGAAGACTACCAACCAATGTCCACGTTTTGGGTGCAATTTGATGACCCTGAGAGATTTCTACCGACACAGTTGTTCAATGATGAAAGTGAACTGATAGAAGTGATAGCACTTTGTGTGTGTGTGTGTGTGCGATTTGTCTTTGCCTTTTTATTTAAATTTTAAATGTATATTGTTTCTTCTATGCCCATTCATGATATTTTTTTTGTGTTCAAACTGAAATTTAAACTATTAAAATGCTGTTTTCAATACAAAAAATTGTTGTTTTTTCCTTTAAATCTTAGGGTATGAAACAAGACATATTCAACCCTCCTACAGACAGACATGTAGAATCTACCTCCAAAAGTATGTGAATTACCGGACATGGAAAGAGAAGTTGGCAAAATTCTTGGAAAAACAAATTTTTAACTAGATCTATAGTAAAAACATCTCCTCGAAGTTTAGAAGGCCTCAGCTTTACGCAGACTGAAGTGTAGGCCCTACCATATGTATTTTTGCAGGCGGGACGAAAAGTTTTCTTCCGAATTGACGTTTGAAAAATGAAATCTGGTCTTGAAAACTCTTGGAAAAGTCATGGGGAAAAAAATATCTCCTGTTCAGTATGAACCCTGACTGTAGCACTGAGTGTCCCCTCACTTCCTCTTCAACTTCAACAGAGATTACACTTCTTATCTTACACACAAAGCAACAGCAGCTGGCTCATATTTTTTTAGTTTAGTTTTATTAGAGGTTTTACGGCGCTTGCAACTGCATTAAGGCTGTCCCCGTGGTTTTATGCACCCCACATAATTAAGCAAAATTTGATCATTTTTGGCATAATTTCTGATTATTTTCTTTTATCCTTCTTTGTTAAAGTAAACAGAATCGCATAATTTTACATTTTTGGGCTCAGTTTGCATAATTTCTGAATTTTTCTTGCATAAAACCACGGGGACAGATAAGGTCATAAGAGCGCCAGAAGATTAGAGGTGTTACAAGATTCGAGGTGTTACAAGATTAGAGGTGTTACAAGAGAGTAACATACAGAAAAAAGAAGAACGGAAGATATAAGGACGATAGCTGTTTGATAGGGAAGAAGAAGCAAACCACACCATAGCACCTGCCAACCACCCACACTCACATTTTGCAAAGTTAGGCCTCGGTGAATTTGTACAATGTAGTAGAGAGTTGATTATGGCCGAGCAAAAAAAGTGGAAAGGCTTCTCAGTAAAGTAAAAACAGCTGATCCAAGCAGAGGTGAATATAATGAATTCAAGGTCAAAATCCCAAATCTGCAAATCTTATGTGTAGGTGTGGATAGGGGTCATAATAATTCACGTAAAATTTCTCCCATGAGAAAGGCCTGTACTGTAATTCTTAAATTAAATAATGACAAGATTTCCACGCCTTGCAGATTTTGCTATATATATATTTGTTGGGCTCCGAGTCCGAGACTGTCCATGGGAGGGGCAAAACCGACAAAACTGATGATGACCTTTAAACTTCAATAACAAACGCGAACCAAACTGATCCACCGATGGGCACCGCCTAGATGATAGATGGTCCCCACAGTCCTGGAACCTCATGCTGAGACCGTTGTACTATATAATAGGTAGGCCTACTAGTACTGGTAGTAGTACATGCGTCCCTTTGTTCATACTTTGATACCTCAGAATTACAGTTCTCTCTGCCAATTTTGGTCGTTATAATAAGCTACTAAAACTAAAACCATAAGGCCTGAAGCCAAATGTTCTATCTGCTCTATCCAAATTGTAAGATTATTTATTCGGAGTCGCTATCCAGATACTCTAAGAATTGCATGGCATTAAAAAAGCTTGACACGTGAAACTAAATTTTTTTAGTAAAATTTCTCAAAACTAGGCTCTGAGCAGATAGAAAGAAATTTGTAATTCTTGGGTAGCGACTTGTTGGTTGTAAATTAGTTCAAACAGCAGAACCTGTGTAGTTTTAGTAAGAGTTTTACGGCACTTGCAACACAATAAGGTAACGTATAAGTCTGAAGAGAATTGTTACAAGAGAATTACACACAAAAAAGGAGAGATCAAGATGATAATAAAGATGTTTGAAGGGAAAGAAGGAGCAAACTCCACCAGTGTACCCACTAACCACCCGCAGCAATGGAACCAATGTAATGTCTGTGGTCTCACTGTGGTGTAGCGGTCAGGCACTTTGCCGTTGCATGCAGGAGACAAGTGGTCGGTTCTTGAATAGGGAGAATATTTATTGAGTATCTGGGTCATTTTGCTGTAGTTGTCTTCGTTGTATCCCTCTCAGGCAGGGCTTTTAGCCCCCGACTGGCAAGGCCAAAGCCCATCTCCTGAATTAGTTTTAGTAGAGGTTTTACTATGAGTATGAGTATGAACGCCAAGGGATGGATGTCAACAGAGAAGCCCTTACAGGGATTCAGACTTACTCTACTCACATCTCTTGCTTCAACAGCACAAAGTCTGCTTCCACTATCAAGGGACCCCGGAAATAGCGGGTCATAAAAGAGTGTGACAAACATACAAAGGAAGTACAGGAAAAATGACGATAGCAAGGATTAGGAAAGAAAAAGCAGCAGTTCCTTGTTGCAGTTCAGGCACAGTTAGGAGCATGACATCAATGAATCGGCTCATTTACAATCCCACTATCTCCTGAATGATCTAAATTGTGTCGACGGGAGTGTAAAAATACCTGCACCAAAAAAAAAAAAAAAAATTTTTTTTCAGAAGAGACAAATTTTCCTAAAGCAATGGACAAGTAACTTTACTGGTAAGGCTTTGGTTCAAACAGTTTTTAGTTAAATAGTACGAGTTTTACAGCACTTGCAATACACAATAAGGTCATATAAGTGGCGAAGATTAGAGGTGTTACAAGAGAGTAACTAACACAAAAAAGTAGGAGAGATAAAGACGATAAATGTTTGACAGGAAAGAAGAAAAAAACCCACACCAGAGCACCCGCCAACCACCCACTTCAAACAGTTTGCTTGATGTGTTGGAGGTAGGGCCTGTCACTGTCAGTGGCATCTTTCAAAAATAGGCTCAGCAGCGGGTAAAGATGATTCCTCAAAGCAAAACTTCTTGCTGTATTATGAGTTGTCTGGTACATGTTACTATCAATCACACGGTGATGACATTGCTCTATGGGCAACATCCCAATCCTAACAGAAAGAGAGATAATCAATCAAATTTCTTTCTCACTTGGGAATCTAATTCACATCAAGGTGAAGAGCCAAACTGTTACACCACAGACGCTGAGTGTCGTAAAGTTTTGATTCCACTGAACTACAGTGCAGCCTCTCTATAACGATACTGTCAGGACCAAAAAAAAATGTTATAGTGAGTTGTTGATATAGAGAGGCAACCAAAAATATTACAAATGATATATTGATATGTGTATATATATAAAAAGAAAAAATCAGGACTTGGGTACCATGTCACTATACAGAGGATGTCGTTATATCGGAGGTCGTTATAGAGAGGCTGCACTGTAGCTGAACACAGATAGAATCTAGTAAGTTTTATTTCTCCCAGCCACAGGTACACAAAAGTAACAGAGAATAGGAACTGACCATAAACAAATGATAATCCTTTATTTTAATGTCCAATGAACAGGGGATACACCCAGGTGAAATATGAAAAAATGAGCATCAAGTTTATTTCCCATGAGTTCTTGTCTTTAAAAGATTTTTGTACACTTCCGGGGTCACATGAAATTATGGACCGAATGATAAAAATGAAACAAAAATGTAGCTGATCATTGTAACACATCAGTCCAGTTAGTCCTCCGGCCGTTTTGGAGGGGGTCCACAAGGCTGCAGCATTTTCTCCATGATGTTGAAGCGGACTCGAGCTTTGGACTCATTCTCTACCAGGCTCAAGTGGTTCAGCATGTCGAAATGTCCCAGGTACGAGGCGTAGGTATCCCTGTGTTGGTTGGTCATCCAGTCCCACTTTGTGGTGTCTGCGTGTCCTGTACCGATGTACTTTGACTGCAGATGCTCCAGCTGGCTGTGAATGTTGTACCGGTCGCCCATTGTTGTAGACAGTAACCTAGGACCGAACCTGAAGAAAATGAAAAAATAAAAAGACATGTTAATAGTACAGGAAGTTGTGAAATTACATATATATAGGGAAATGATCCAAGATAGCCACTCACTGTTGAGGAGAAAAGTGGTTGACTTTGACTGGTAGACATATTGTAGACGACATATTGGTGGACAATGATGACAGTCGACTACGGATGAGTTGATCTGTCCCCGTGGTTTTATCATGCACCCTGCATAATTTTGCAAAATTTGATCGCTTTTTGCATAATTTCTGATTATTTTCCTTTATCATTCTTTGTAAAAAAATTAAACAAACAGAATCGCATAATTCCACATTTTTGGGCTCAGTTTGCATAATTTCAGAATTTTTCTTGCATAAAACGACGGGGACAGGTTGATGTTGTTGGAGGAGTGAAAAAAAAATCAATCAAGAAGAAGAGGTGCTGGGTGCTGGGACCTGAGAAAAAGATCAACTTAACCGAAGATCAACTCAAAGCGAGTTCAACACACAAGCAAAGTCGACTAGAAATATAATTTAGGATAGAAAAACCCCCCACAAAGGGGGGAAATGGGAAGAGGTCGGTTGTTCAGGTGGTTATCTTGGATGGTTGTCAGAGCTGGCCGCCCGTCCATCCCTAAGGCTAATACACCATTAAGACGTGTGCATGCTAACAATGTCTGTTGGTATAAAACTGGGCGCCAAATTTTGTCGCTTCCAAAGCTTAAAGTCCTTAGGTAGATCTAAATTTAAAGCAAAAATTTATTTTTTGTGTGCTTTAAGAAAGTGGCTATTCTCACCCGCCCGGAAGTTCTCGCAAGATCTACTCCTCCCCTCTTCTCTCTCTCTCTGTCTCTTTCTGAATACTGTCTATCGGTGTGGACGATCAAATTGACCAAAACAAAGTTAAAAAATGATGTTAAAACACAAAAGTAAATTAATTTGGTTGTCTACAAAGATGCTACGGCTATTTAACTTTTCGAATCGAGCCGAACTACGCGGGTCGCCATTTTGTTTTGTTCTCTCTCTTTCTCACTCTCTCTCTCCACTGCCCACAGACAAAATTGTACGCTTTTAGTTAGTAGGCTACAAGTACAGTTGTAATGGAACGTTTGTTCACAGCACAGAATTCTACAATTTTTCTCTTATCACAGTGTAGAATTCTGTGGTTTAGGGTGAACGCAAAATTTGTTGACACGCGCACCGGGTGAGAATAGCCACAAGACCCGCCTGCACTATTCTCACCCCGGGTGAGAATAGAGGTGGCCGTGCTTTAAAAATAAAATCCACACGCATTATAATTCATTTAAATCTAGACTCTAGATCTAATCTAGATTTAGATCTAAATCTAGATCTAGATCTAAATCTATAGACTATAGACTTAGAAACTGAAATCACCAAGCCCAAGCCCATCCTACAGAATTCAAACAGATAGAGAATCTAATCTAATCTAAAATCTATAGATCTAGAAATCTAGATTCTAGATCTAGAATCTAGAGTTAAGACTTTTTGTCCGGGGTAAGGCCTGGATCTAGATCTAGATCTAATCACCAACACTAACAATACAAGATTCTAGATCTACATCTAATCTAGATCTAGATCTAGAATCTAGAGCCTAAACACTAAAGTTAAAGACTAAACTAAACACATTATATTGGCGACTAAACTGAAGCTGAAGCATAGCGGCACAGTCACAGACAGTACAGAGCCAACAAATGAAAAACCCTTCGCTATTCCAAATCACACACACATGACACTAGAATCTAGATCATATCTACCCATCTAGTCTAGATCTGTCCAAAAAGCAGCATTGGTTATTGAGAAGTAACATTACCAAAGAGAGTTGATAATTCTACGTTGTCCAACTTATCCAATGTGTTCCGATTAGTTTCTCTGTCAAAACAACACAATGACATACAGCTGGGCTGACAGGGTTGCCCAGAGTTATCTCCTTTTTTTTTTTAAATCTATAGGGTTGCCAGATAAAAGAAACAAGAGGAAGTTTGTCAGGCTAGAAGCCAAAATGGAGGCCAAACCATAGATTTACACTAAAAAGGAGATACGATGTACATGTTTCTCAAAAGGCCAAATAGAAATTAGGAGGCCAATTTTCGAGGACAAGGGTTAAAAAGATCTTAATTATCCCTTTATAACTTATAGTTAAGTTCTATTGTTTTGCTTACTTTTTTGTTATCTTCCTCAGTCCTCTTGTACAGTCTTTTGCTCTTAACCCAAGCTCCTTGTCTCACATTTTTACAAAACACTGCGATTGAAGACTGTACAAGTACAACAGCGGGCTCTTGTGGCCAAGAAGTTAAGGTGTGTGCCTCTCATTCAGGTCCCGGGTTCGAATTCGGGTAGCGACCGAAAAATTTTCTGAGGGAGAGAGGAGAGATAGAGAGGGAGAGGGAGAGAGAGGGAGGGAGAGAGAGAGAGGG